TTAGGAGATGACGCATGTATTATATGTGGATATGTAAATTTGTTAAGGTTCATAAAAATTTTAGGAGATGACACATGTATTATATGTGGATATGTAAAATTGTTAAGGCTCATAAAAATTTTAGGCTAATAAAGAAAAAAAAATGTGAGTAATATAGATATAAATATATATATATATATATATATATATATATATATATTCATATAAACATTTAGATAACAGTGCAATATGCAACTAAATCTAGTATAATCTTAATCCACAGTCGAACCATTTGTGATTTGAATATTTGCTTCGAGGACGTTGAGGAAGACATATAAAATGAACTCTTATTTTGTGCAGCCTCTATGACATCTAAAATGAACATTGTAATATTATTCATGTCAACTCTGTGTTGTAAAAGAGAGAACCACAGACTCACAAATAAATGTCCTATTTAAAAGGGATGATAATAGATTGGCTGATGTTGGTAAGAAAGATTTTTTTGTATATGTGATTCTTCATATTTAGTATTTTTTAAAATTAGGGGGTTGTTCACCCCATAGCCAAAGACGTATGAATTTGGAGATATGTGACGCCTTGGCTAGTGCCATTGCACAGTTCTGGTGGAGCTCGAACCCTCCAAAACGAGGCTTACATTGGTCAACATGGGATAAGTTATGCTTACCTAAGGAGGAAGGGGGAATAGGATTCAAGATGATCCATGAGTTTAACCTGGCATTGTTAGCTAAGCAGTTGTGGAGATTGGCTCAACACCCAGACTCCCTGGTAGCTCGAGTTATGAGAGGTCGGTATTATCGACTGAGTTCGCCTTTGCGAAAGCTCACTGTTAGTAGTCCATCATATGTGTGGACAAGCATCTCGGCTGCACGAGATTTACTGCTGCTGGGAGTTAGACAAAAAATACATTCAGGCTATGATGTGAAAGTATGGGAGGACCCTTGGATTCCCGCAATCCCAGCGAGGCCAGCGTTTTCATCTGCTTCGGTTTTGCATCCAAACATAAGAGTGAGTGATCTCATTAACCAAGAAACAAAGTCTTGGGATCTGGAACGGTTGGCGAATTATGTTGATGCTGCTGACGTGCCTCTTATAAGAAGTATGGCTATTAGCTCAACACATCGTAGAGACACACATTGCTGGAGCTATACGAGGAGTGGACAGTACACAGTCAAGTCTGGCTATTGGGTTGCTAAGAATATTTTGATGAAGGAGGATGATAATTTAGTGGGCGAGCCTAGTATTACAAAACTTCAAGCACAAGTCTGGAAGGTTAAAGAACCCCCGAAGATGTGTCATCTTATGTGGCAGATTATAACAGGTCACGTGGCTGTTACGAGTGCTTTAAACCATAGACACATAAGATGTGACAATTTTTGTCCACGATGTGGAGAACCGGGAGAAACAGTCGCACATGCAATCTTCCAATGCTCACTTGCATTACAGGTGTGGGCCTCATCATCTATACCTACCAACTCTAATTTATTCCCACTGCAGAGTACATATGAAAACATGGATTATCTATCCTGGAGAAAGAAAGCCATAATGGAGCCAGAACTAGACAGGGACCCTTATCCTTGGATAATATGTTACATTTGGAAGGCTCGGAATGATAAGCTGTTCCAAGGGATTGATAGAGATCCTCTGGAGCTTGCCAGGTATGCGGAGAGTGAGTGACTTGCCTGGTTCCAAGCTAATGAACAGGATATTGTGCCATTGCAAGGAGACACAGATGTTCAAAACCAGGTCATAAGCCTGAAAGATATTTGCATCGTAGACGGTTCTTGGACCTCTACAGATCATTTCTCAGGTTGTGGTTGGGATTGGAATGATAACATGGGAAATAGCCAGTTGATGGGCATGCGTAATGTTTAGACAAAAAATACATTCAGGCTATGATGTGAAAGTATGGGAGGACCCTTGGATTCCCACAATCCCAGGGAGGCCAGCGTTTTCATCTGCTCTGGTTTTGTATCCAAACATGAGAGTGAGTGATCTCATTAACCAAGAAACAAAGTCTTAGGATCTGGAACGGTTGGTGAATTATGTTGATGCTGCTGACGTGCCTCTTATAAGAAGTATGGCTATTATCTCAACCCATCGTAGAGACACGCATTGCTGGAGCTATACGAGGAGTGGATAGTACACAGTCAAGTCTGGCTATTGGGTTGCTAGGAATATTTTGATGAAGGAGGATGATAATTTAGTGGGCGAGCCTAGTATTACAAAACTTCAAGCACAAGTCTGGAAGGTTAAAGCACCCCCGAAGATGTGTCATCTTATGTGGCAGATTATAACAGGTCACGTGGCTGTTACGAGTGCTTTAAACCATAGACACATAAGATGCGACAATTTTTGTCCACGATGTGGAGAACCGGGAAAAACAGTCGCACATGCAATCTTCCAATGCCCACATGCATTACAGGTGTGGGTCTTATCATCTATACCTACCAACTCTAATTTATTCCCACTGCAAAGTACATATGAAAACATGGATTATCTATCCTGGAGAAAAAAAGCCATAATGGAGCCAGAACTAGACAGGGACCCTTATCCTTGGATAATATGGTACATTTGGAAGGCTCGGAAAGATAAGCTGTTCCAAGGGATTGATAGAGATCCTCTGGAGCTTGCCCGGTATGCGGAGAGTGAGTGCCTTGCCTGGTTCCAAGCTAATGAACAGGATATTGTGCCATTGCAAGGAGACACAGATGTTCAAAACCAGGTCATAAGCCTGAAAGATATTTGCATGGTAGACGGTTCTTGGACCTCTACAGATCATTTCTCAGGTTGTTGTTGGGATTGGAAGGATAACATGGGAAATAGCCAGTTGATGGGCATGCGTAATGTTAGTAGAGTGGAGTCGGCTTTGCACTCTGAGCTGGAAGCACTATGGTGGGCAATGGAGAATATGCTTCAACATTCGCCATGTCAGAGCTTTGGGACGGATTGTAAGGATTTGAGAGCAATGCTCACAAAACCCCATAAATGGCCAAGTTTTTCGACGGAACTGGAGAGGCTCTTGACGCTGCAGATTTGCTTTCCAGATTTCAAGATTCTTTATGTTCCTAGATCTCAAAATGTTGTGTCCGATTTCTTAGCTAAGACAGCTCGATCCTTCTATCGTGATTTGATGTATGTTGGTTGTTCTATTCCGGTCTTGATTCCCATACCACCTCAAGCTTGAGTAATAGAACAGCCTTTCGTTATAAAAAAAAAAAAAAAGTTGAATTCAAAAGAATGTGTGGTAAGTTATTTGAGTCTGAAAAACTTGCATGTGAGTTTATAATTACATCAAACCACCCGAAAATACACAAATTTATCACTTCAAAAATGGCATTCAAGTAAATGAAAATTAAAAGGGAAAAGAAGGCAGGTTATGCTAAAGGTTCATAGACATTTTTGCGTGTTATAGTGTGTTATAATTGTCCCCATAATATTTTACTGGATTAACAGAGTAAACCTGTTTATTTGCTCGGCTATTATTCTATGTTTAAGTTGCAACTAGATTTTGACCCGCGCTTAAAAGCATAGAAATTTTTTATGATTAAAAATTTATATAATTGGGTTTTGTCTTAGTTTAAAGAATATTTTGATATAAAATCAGTTCATCAAAATTTGTGATGATGATTTTTTTTCATTAGTTTTTAGTTTTACTTTTTATTTTTAGATTTTGGTTTTTAGTTTTTAAGTTTCTACTTTTCATTTTCAGTTTTTGGTTTGGGTATTTAATTTTTAAACCCGCTAAGTTAGTTTGAACTGATATTACCAACAAACAAATCTCAAATAATCGAACATCTAATTTAAAACTGAAAAGATGAAAACAATTATTTTAAAAAAAATTGAAATAGTTTATTTTGTAGATAAACAAAGCAAAAAAAAATATAATATGTGTTTTCATCTTTTGATTTAGGATTTTAGTTTTTAGATTTGGTTTTTGGTTTTGCTTTACATTTTTTAATCAGTAAATTATTTAAGAAAAATAAAACACTAAATTATTTAAAAGTTACAATTGAAATTTTATCAAAACAAAATGATTGTTATTTAAAATAAAAAATATATTAACATGTTTTAAAGTACATGATTTAAATAAATGATTAATAATAGATAATTTTGTTTTCTTAAAAAGTTTAAATACCTTTTGGGTCTGAAAATAATAATTTATTTTTTGATGTTTTAAGGTGAAAAATTTATTCAATGTTTTTTTGAGTTTTTTCTTAATACTAAGCCCAAAAACCAAACTATATAATTTGTTCAAAAAATAAAAGTAAACCCAATACTATATTCCATAAATAACCACTGGTTTAATTTAAGTATAATTAGTAGATTTTCATATTCCATATTTAGATGATGTATATTCTTTTAGAATATTCCATATTTGTAGGAGAAAATATGTGTTTTCGGTATACACATAGATATCTACTGTATTTTGAAGGTAATTTACATTAATTGGTTTAATTTAAGTAAATACGGTTGACTCAATTATATGACTTATATTATTTGTAACATTCTAGAAATGGTCCAAATTTAAATGACAACTTGTATCAGTAGATAAAAAGAATGACTCTATTTCAATAGAATAGATGTATAATGGTGCCACAGTGGTTCTCTTTTCAGCCTATCGAATGCATAGTTGACCTGTCTAATTTGCTTGACACATATCATGAACAATATAATCAGGAAGTTGTAGTTAAGGTTTATACACATTGTCCGGATAGCATAGCATATGTCCTCCTATACCTCTTTAGAAAAAATGATTACTTTCGAACGAAAATGTGTTTAAGAGATGCAGATGAGACTTGGAAAGTACTTTGTAGAATTTGTTGGGCTGCTTATTAAAACATAAAGTTCTCATAAGAAGTTTTAAACCAAAATGAGAAAGAGGAAACTAAACAGGAAAGGGAAACTACAAAATGGTGGCAGTTTATATTCAAATAGAAACTTGATGGTGTGAGGATCACTTTGAGTCAGCCTCTGACTGTCTAGGTGGAGATTCGTAGCTCTTAGTTTCCATGTCTAAAATGCTTGGCTTCTCTTTCGCCTCTTCCCTGTCTTGCTGCAGTTGCCTCTACAGAACCTGATGTGTAGATTTTTGTCCCAAGGCCAGAGTTTTCCACTTTGAAGATGGCCACAACGTTGCTCCCATTATGGTCTGCAATTTCAGGATTCTGCATGGCTGGTGGGGTATGGGGTAGGACAGCAAGGAAGACAACCTTAGTGATTGCAATGGCCTGCCTTCTAGTGGTGAAGTCTTACTTTGTAACCTGCACCTTGTATTTGTGGGTTGTATAATGGTATCGAGTAGGGTTGTGGGATTGTTACCGTATGGTTAAGTCCAATATTTCCATTTGCCTACAGAAGCACACATGATGTTTATGTGTTTGAATAAATAGGTTGGTGTAAATTATGACAACCAAAGTTACCTCGAAATAGTTTTCCATAAGCTCAAAAGCTTGTCTTCATGTGAGCTCAGTACCGGAATCACCAAGACGCACAAAAGAAGCCTTGTCGCCGTGAACGGACAGTTCCTCTAGGTACCTGTGTTGCGTAAATAAGTAGATAAGCAGGAGTCTGTAATACTTTACTTGGCTACTCTGATGGCGTTTTATTTGTTGCATTTTTGGGCAGACTACTGAGTTTGGCCCTTTATGTGGTTCCTCTAGGTACCTGCCGACTACCAACCAGTGTTGTGGTGTCCATCATCATTTGTACCAAAGTATATTCAAAATATGCAAGCTATTTTGTTAAATTGCAAGTGTTAGCTTAGTTTGGAAGTGGTCATATTTCTTTCTATATAACAAAGTTTTAGTACCTGAGACCTTTCCTTCTTCAGGGAAGCCAAGATATCGCCAGTAAAAGTCTCCACCTTGGTCACCTCGGTTGACAATAATTATTTGGGAGTAATGTTACACACCCCACTTATAACAAAACGAAACAGTTGACACCTCTACGTAAAGGACCTAGATCATGACAGGATGATCGGGTACCGTCATGCATAGTTCAGTCTTCTTCAGTCACTGTCTGTCAAGTTGCAACTATAATGCATTGATGTTAACCTTGAATTCTTAGTCTCTCTATGAAAAGGAAAAGAAAATGTAAATTTTGTAATATAAAGTGAGTCAGAAACTAATATTAACAAATCTTCATGATTATGCGTACACTAACCGAACATCCCATCTGATGACTTCCATAATAGAAAGTGAAACCACGGAAATCAGATTTCGGGGTTTTTAGTTTTATAATACAAACAGAGAGCAGTCGTTTAACCACACATACCGTTTTTGCTCTATTTCGGTGATTTACTTCTTGATCATTTTCCTCATTATCATCCTTGTCCTCACTCAGTCTGAAGGTCGTCTGCGTTAACAACCTCATCACATGCTTTTTTCATTAATGATTGATCTGCATAAGAAACAGTAGATAGGTTCAAATTTTGGAACTTAATTGAGAAGCAATCAGAACTAAAGATGAAATAAAAGGTACACATCCCACCTAATATCATAGCCGTGCTTTAGGCTTGGAGTTTCATCAAGCTGGTGCTTTTGGGGATGACGATGTGAGGAATTTTGGCCTTGAATGTCACCATATATAGAGTTTGGTTGGGAAAAGGGAAGAAACTGAACAGTTATTGATCTTGATATTGTCTTCGACTTAAACCGCTGAAGAGTTTAAAGGAAAAGTCACCGAAAAGCGTTTGAGGAAGAGACGATAAGATTGTCGAATCTGTGTTAACAAAAGGAGTGAGCTGACATGGTAAGTTGAAGGCATATGATTGATTGATTTTTTAATCTGAGGTGGCAGCTATCTCCTTTGAGCATTAAGCCATTTTAGTATTGTAAGATACTAGTAGTTTTACCCGCACATGCAGACTTAATTAAATTTAAATCAATTTAAAAAATAATCAAAATAAATGATTATTTACATCCAAAAAATTTAACCTAAAACATTAAACTTTTTAACATGATAACGTTATTCACAAATTAAAAAAAAAATCTACTTTTTTCTTTTAAACTTTAAAAAATCTAAAGTCCATTTCCTTTCTTCTTAATTGATAAAAATATAGAAATCTATCTTTCAATTTGAAAAATTGAATCGATAACTATACATTCAATAATTGATCTTACAGAAAGAATAGTATTAGTTTGGATAATAATACAATATATTTAAAATTTATTTTTGTCAAATATGTATTTTCTTTCTTTTTGAATGATTTTTTATTTTATTATGATTAATTCATGTTTAAAGTTTAATTATATAAAATATAAAAATAAATTTAATTTAATGTATGAGTTCAGAGGCAAAAAATAACTTCACAAATATATATCGTTATATAATATTATTATATTCTTTTAATTTTTAAATAATTACGTATTATAACATTTTAAATTTTATATTTGCAATTATATACAATCAAAATTTTTACCTCTATGAATATTTATTTATGTTTTTTTTTTCTGTTTTTGAATTTTTTTATTAAATATATTTTTCAGATAACAACACAATATATATAGGAATTATCTTTTTATTTTTAAATATATATTTAGATTATGGATAATTTTTATCATTATTATTAATTTAAATCATTTATCTAATCTAATAAATATTAAATTCGTTTTTATTATTGGCTGATTTATATATTTATCCATTAAGGGTATAAACGATATTAAGTACTCTAACTTTTAACGTGAAAGTTCCATTGCGAAAAATCATTTCGGATCTTTTAATTTGAAAATAATTACGTATTATAATTTTTAAAATTTTTATATTTTCAATTATATGCAATTAAAAATTTTACTTTACGAATATTTATTTAGGCGAAAAATAACTTCACAAATATATATCGTTATATTATATTATTATATTCTTTTAATTTGTAATACGTATTATAATATTTTAAACTTTATATTTTCAATTATATACAATCAAAAATTTTACCACTATGAATACTTATTTATGTTTTTTCTGTTTTTGAATTTTTTTTTATTAAATATATTTTCCAGATAACAACACAATATATAAGAATTATTCTTTTTTAAAAATATATATTTAGATTATGGATAATTCTTATCATTATTATTAATTTAAATCATTTATCTAATCTAATAAATATTAAATTCGTTTTTGTTATTGGCTGATTTATATATTTATTCATTAAGGATATAAACGATATTAACTACTCTAACTTTTAATGTGAGAGCTCCGTTGCGAAAAATTATTTCGCATCTTTTAATTTGAAAATAATTACGTATTATAATTTTTTAAAATTTTATATTTTCAATTATATACAATTAAAATTTTTACTTTATGAATATTTATTTATGTTTTTTTCTGTTTTTGATATTTTATGTATTTTTTTTTATATTTTTAATTAAATATAATTTCCGTATAACAACACAATATATATAGGAATTATCTTTTTAAATATATATTTAGATTATGGATAATTCTTATCATTATTATTAATTTAAATTATTTATCTAATCAAATAAATCTTAAATTCGTTTTTATTATTGGCTGGTTTATATATTTATTCATTAAGGGTATAAACGATATTAACCACTCTAATTTTCAATGTGAGAGCTCCGTTGCGAAAAATCACTTCGCAAATAATAGTATAGATTACTTAATAAGTTGATTCATATTGTTCTATATTGCTTCTCATAATCATTAACAATCTCCATATTTTAACTACAGAAATAAATCGAAATTTGAAATAAAACTAATTACAATAAAAGTTAACATGAGAACTGAATTATAAAATTAAAACTAATTTAAATATTTAAATTGGTTTAGAGAACTAGACCAAATTCTTTTAAAAAAAAAACTAAACCGAAACAAACTACACCTAAACCTAAATCTTAATCAAAATCTAAACTTCCTCATCATCAACCGCCGCACCACAATGAAGCTTTGCCTTAACTCTCCAGTGAGAAGAGGCGGCCACCACCACCACCACGCCGTACCTCCTCTGTTTTAAAACTTACGACCACCAACTTTGCTCACGACCAGTAGCGGATCCAGGAACCATTTAAACTGGTGTCATGGCAAAGAGAGGCTAAGAACTTTGCCTTTTATTCATCTCCAGCGAGCTGAACCATGAAAGCCTGGTCCTGCAGAACACTGTGATACTAAAAATAATCAATCCATAAATGAGGAAGAAAGAGAGAGATTATTGATTATCAGAAGAAGGCACAGAGAACTACATCTGAGCGAGAGAACAAAGAAGAAACGTGGTTAGACAGAGATGAGAGGAAAGTGAGAATGGACCGACGACAAAACACATATGGATTAATTGTGACGATTAGATTAAAAGTTATCAAGGGTTAACATTGACAATATACACACTTTTTTTTTGTTACTTACCAATCTACACACTTGTCTCCTATAATCCCATTGGATGGAAAATTAAAATTGATTATTAGTTATGTTTATAGTTTAGAGTCTAAATGTAAATTTAGAGTATAGAGTTTGATTGAAGATCTAAAGTTTGTATTTGGAAATTATAGATTAAGGTTAAAAAATCAAATTTAAAATTTGAGATTATAGTATGAAAACATTAGTATTTTATGGTTTATATTTAGAGTTTAGGGTTTAAAAATCTAAATCCCAAAACTTAATTCCAAACCTTATATTATACTTCAAACTTTAAACTCTAAACCTAAATTTTATTTTTTCACAATTCACTCTCAAATTTTCAAATCCAAACTTCAAAGACCATATTTCAAACTTAAACTCTATACCCCAAACCTTAAAATCTAAACATGAAACAAATTTTTTCAAACTTTTATAAATTTATAAATCTGTTTTCAAATTATAAGTTCATAAAATATTTAATCTTAACACAAAATATCAAACTTTTTTTTAAATAATAATATCAAACTTATCCACAGTTAACCTAGTATTAACCTATATCACGAAACACTAAATCTTAATTTTTAAATAAATTATAATTCCTATAAGTATTCATTAAAAGGAAAAAAAACGTAATATAATACAGAAAAATAAAATAAAGACAAAGAAAATTCTAAATATAAACTATTAAATTCCTAAACAAGTTTTCAACATTTAAATAAACTATCAAAGGGTATCCATTCCAAAAACGTTGTCGTTTAGGAAATGAGATTTTCTGGGCGATTTTGAGTGCGATTGCGACGAATGTTACGGAGATGGATTTGGCGAGGCCGCCGGGGGTTTTGGCTTCACCGGGGAGAGGAAACACGACTGAGATAAGTGAAAATCAAGGTAGAAAGGTTGGAGAGAGCTCGAGAGTTGGAGATCAGAGATGGGTTGAGATTGCGGAGGATAAGAAACGGTTGAAGAAGCATGATGTTGAGGTATCGATGAAGGATGGGAAGCATTTGGTAGAGATTCCAGATGAAATCCTTGAGAGTACAACACCTTTGTGGGAAGATTTTGTGGTGGGCAAGTTTTTGGATCTAGAAATATGGAGATGAAGCTGCAAAGGTGGAAGTCTATGAAGTTAACCCCACGACGATGAGATTTAGGGTCCCAAACCCGAAAATGAGGGAGAAAATTGTTCGAAGGGGCATGTGGAATGTGGTGGGAGTGCCGATGATAGTCTCGAAATTGACAGCAAAGGGTGAGGAAGAGAAGCAAGAATAGGAAGCTATTCCAATGTGGGTACATATGGAGAAAGTTCCTCTTAATATGTTTTCATAGGAGGCGCTAAGTTTCATTACAAGCACGGTAGGATTTCCAGTGAAGCTCCATCCGGAAACAAGCTCTTGTACTAACTTGGAGGTTGCTAAAGTTTTTTTGTTAAGGTTGATGTCTGAAAGTTCTTCCAAGAGAAATTACCTTTTCAAAAGGAGGAAGTGGGTTCACAGGGAAGTATTACTACCCTTGGCTTCCAGCAAGATGCAAGTTGTGTGAGAAGTGGGGACACAATGAAACAGTTTGCAGGATGAAAGGAAAGAGGGAAGAAAAGACACAGAATAAAGAGCGTGAAGGAAAGGCAAAGGAGATAGAAAAGGATGATATGAATTTGCAAGAGAGTGTTGAGAAGTTGGTTGACGCAGACAAAAGGAGGGAGGGAAAAGAAGATGATATAGAAGGAGACGGGAGTGATATAGAAGGAGGCGGGAGTAAGGAGGTGAATAGCTGGTCTTTGGCCAAAGGAAGATCACAAACACCAACTCCGCAAAAAAAAAAAACAGAAGAGATACTGATATCAGCGTCTAAATATTCTTTTTGGATGAGGAAGAAGTTGAGGATGGTGAATTACTAGAAGATGATAAAAGTGTAATGGAGGATGAAACGAAGGAAGAAGATGAGCGAAGAGAGAGCGATATGTTAGAAGATGACATACTAGATCAACAAGGAAAAGATAAGGAAAGGATTGGGATGAAGAAAGG